CTCCAACTACCAGTAATTTAATTTTTTCAAAATTTTTTTTGCTTGAAAGAATTTAGTTTTTCAACTATTGGTTTCAAACCGTTTTTTCTCATCTGGCAGTACTTTGACCCTATTTTTTTTACATATTTTTTATCTCCTCATCAAGTAGATTAGAAAAAAAAGGAAGAAGACATACGTCCGGGACATAAACAAAGGTTATAACAGTAAGTTGAAAAATACCTGTCAAAAACAAAGATCCCGTCACATTTCTGCTAATATCTCGGCAGAAACAGAATCAAAACCGGAAAAATTTGAAATATAAACAGTATGGACTATTGCAAACAAAATGACACTAACAGCAATTGTTATACGCAATTGACAAAGAGATAATTTTTCTGGAGTCTCTCCGGTATCTTCCGGGTGCCTCCATAATACATGGTGGCACACTGCCAATTCCGCTGAAATCGTTCCAGCAAAAGATCGTTTTCCCGCCCAGTGGAACTTAAGATTGAATCCGCCTATAGTTTTTACACTGGTTGCGAAACTCTCATTTCTAAAGTCTAAGGAAATATAATGGTGTTACTTTAGTGACAGTTAACTACTTTACCGTTCAATTTTGCTCACTAATCACGCAGAGGATGAACATCATCCTGCAACAGATCAAGTTCTTTGCTTTATACATCAGCAACCGATTTTGTATGGTGTCATGCAAAAAGAAGCAGAAACTTTCATCCATTAGTACGTAAAAGAAATGATAGCGATGGTTTGCTTGGAATAAATCGTCTTATTCTCCTCTTAATCAAGTTTCTGGAAATCAGGAAGCAATGTTAGTAAAAAATTTAGTAATTGTACTTACGGAAAAAATGAAATCTCTGACGACGAGATACTTTAATTAAAAAAATATTATCAAGTAAACTGTCTAAAACGCAAAGTTTAAAAGAGAACAGAACGAAAAAAACTAGAAAAGGCAGACTGAAGTGGTATGTCTTATTTCATATTATTTATTTATTTGTTTATTTTGATTCCAACTTTTGTTTACTTTTGTTTCGTTGAGTGTTCCTTCTTAAAAAGAGAAAATGGGCATTTTTGTACAGAATTGTTTACGCAACGATTAAATACATTAAAGTGGTCCCTGTAACACTTTTTTTGTTCTTCGAGTTAATTGAGTCAGAAAAAAATAGGAACTTTTTAAGAAAAACTGCAAATAAAAAAAAAAAGAAAAAATAAAAAGTTGTTGAAAAAAAAAAACAGAATCTACCCGGCACAACTCTCTGCAAATCATTAACTGGACTAAGAGTTGTACTAATATCTGGAATAACTTTATAAGCTTTAAAAGCGGCGGCAACAACAGCAACAAAATTATTAGCAAGAATAACAATTAAAAATGCCCAAATGCTTATCAGTACGAGAAAAAGCGCATTTAGTTGCATAGACCGAAGATGGCTAAGCCGCTAACATAGCGCTGACAACAGATATCATCTTTCTGGTATGGGGATCATTGTATGACTGTTTGGAATCTTGCCAATTTGCTTATCTTTATTGTCTTAAGTAATATTGTTGCTAAACGAAGACTTATCTCGACCGAAAAGAAGAAAGAAATATGAACTTGTCTCTGTCTTAGAGATTATTTTTGCAGGACCCCTCTCAGGTTGTTGCTGCCTCTATAGCCCAACAATGACTACTATTGAAAAGGTAAAGTGAGTGGTCTACCAGATATTTAGTTATTTTAAACTGTATGACGACTTTTTCTTTTGGCGTTGGTGTGCAGCCATATGCGGCCTTCAATTTTTTATCCATACAGTTTTCTCTTAAGTTTAAGCTGTGGCTAAAAATAGGCATCAGTATGTTTACTCTCCTCTTTTTTATTGTAAAAATTCCGCTAAAGATTCTTAAAACAGTTGTTTTAACTTTCTGTCGGCCAACAGTTTCTTATTTGTCAGTTTTATTGGGGATTTGAATGAGAAGAAAATCTGTAAGAAAAATTTTCACATTTATCAATGTTTCAATCTCTCGTTAGGTTAAGGTTGTAAATATCGAAAGTAAGAGGAAAGGGTTTTTTTTAGTTTCTCAGTTTAGCATTTAATTTCTGTCTAACTTCCTGTAGATATAAGATTAAAAAATGTGAAAATTTAACGCAGGTAGTTTTATTATGCAACTGAATAAGACTTTTTTGAGTTAGATTTATAACTGGAAGATAATTCGCATATTGACAATACTTAGGTTATACATTTTCCCATTGTTATCCGTTTTGCACTTTTCAGCTTCTCATTAAAATAGTTTTTTTATTGCAAGAAGGGCCGAAGGTCATACTGTAAACTAATTTTGAGTTCTGCTTTTCTTTTTTTCTAGTTACAGTTCATGAATCACTTTTAAAATATCATTATATTTCCTTCGTTTCAAAATAACTCCTCTCATGCTGATCTATATTTGTTACAGATTGAACGTATTGCTTGCGTTGGAGCGGGCTATGTTGGCGGCCCAACTTGTGCAATGATTGCTCTAAAATGTCCAGATATTCAAGTAACTGTTGTTGATATGAATAAAGAGAAAATTCAGCAATGGAACACTAATGAACTTCCTATTTATGAGGTTTTTTTTCTTTTTTTTTCGACGTGTTTTCGTTTATTTAGCCATTACTGTTCAATTACTTCTGCGGTCACTTTTCAAGCCTACTGAC